TTTTATGTACACATTTGAACTGTATCGCTGCTAAACTGTCACTTTTCTCATTCAAACCTCTCTCCTCCTGCAGTTATGTGTCACATCTCTCAGTTTTAGCCTTTTGCTTTCACGACCCGCCATATATCACACCAAGCTCACATCTTCAAAGCGCAGAATTACATTAACAATTGTCCAAAATAAAATCAAGTGTTGCTATATTAGCCCTCTCCAAATCAAAGCTCTCCTTGAATAGTTGCTTGTGTATGAAATATATCTGCACTTATGCATAAACACAGCCCGGATAAACTCCCTGCAGGCTGCCATATGGAAGTGTAAAACGCATAAACATGGAGTGAAAACCAGACACCGGGACGTTGAAAAGAGTGTCACCAATTAAACGTATTGAATGTAAATATTTGGACTTGGCGACCCACACGCCCCCCCTCTGGTGTCTCCTTATACTTCCCTTACAAGGAGGCCCGAGCCTGGGGTTCCGTGGGTCTGTTAGGCACAATTACCCATCATGGTCACACGTCAGCTGCAATTAGGCTCACGCCGAGAGGAGAATAGCTTCACAGGCAGCGTGGAGACACTAAGGATAGAGTTGTGAGGAACAAAGGGTGTTTTTTGTTTTTGTTTATTTAATATAATTATGTTTATTTGCATTATTTCAAGGCCTGACAACTCATGACGTATGGTAATGACAATTCAAAACAAAAACAATTCCCCAACTACAAACAAGAAATGTTCTCTGCAACCAACAAAAGAATCATAAAGGCATCAATCAATATAAAGAGGATGGACAAAAAAGAATGTCCGACAGGCCAGACAAGGAAGAAAGTGTGTTTTAATGTGTGTCAGGAGTGGGCCATGGGTTTTCTCTACAGGTGAAAGTTGTGTCTTTGGGCAAGACAATTTACCCCACTTTGCCTTTAAAGAGTGCGGTAGTAACAGCACTCTGCATGCCTTGATGTGATATGTGTACATGACTATTCATCGAAGCGAATTTCTCCATTGTGAGATCAATAAAGTATAAAATATCTTACTTCTGCAATTCAACTTACAATGTGAAACTATATGACGGGCTCGTTACAGGCAAAGGGAGATGAAAGAGACAAATAAATTCAACTCAATTCTATTCAGTCTTTTTCTTGTATAGCCCTAAATTAACAGTAGTTTTCGTGAAGGACTTTACAAAACCGTCAATTGGCCAACACAGATCAGAGAATCAAACCGTTCAAACACATATAGCCATTGATCCATAAAGGGCAGATGACCAATGTCCATAAAACAAACAATTTTAACAATAATAATCATCTATTGTATTCTTGGGTTTCATTAAACTGGCCAGTAGGGGGCGAATGAGCAGAGGTGGGACAACTCAGCTTTGCTCCCATTGAAAACTATGGAAATCTTGTCTGTTTTGGAGTCAAAAGGCTCTCCTCCTGCGTTGTACGGTTGTTGTAACAGTCTTAATCGGGGACACTCGATTCTAACGAGTCTTGATTTCGGGCATTTTTGGAAAGAAAAACAGAAGAAATTGCTGCGTTTCAATCGGGTGGCCTGCAGGGGGCGCTTATCTGGGAAAGCCTTGATCCACCGCGCCCGCCTCATTCGAGTGATTCTTTCAAACTGTACTCCTTTATATGAGACCACAGTTGGAACATGTAAGAAACTCTTGTCTTTCCTTCTATTTGCGCGGTTGCTACAAGCGTACACCGCACAAAAAGATGGCATTTTGACAGCTCTTCTTCTTCTACTGTATCCCCGTGTATAAACCCGGCAGACTGCACCGCCAGGGTACGTCACGTTCTGTCCTACGTTTGTAATTTGCGCCACTGCCCTGACGTCATATGAAACCCAAGAATTATGATTTCAATTATTTAAATATAGCGCCACCTGCATGCAAAATCCAGATCCCGTCAGATTTCTGAGGATATGCAGGGCTGGGCCTGGTTAGTACCGTGATGGTCAACCTCTGGGAACATCAGGTGCTACAGGGAGGCAGCTGTAAAGTGTGTCCTTAGGCAAGAAATTTCACACATATTGTCTAGAATGAGTCTTGCGTGTGTGTGAATGGCTGGTGGTGGTGGAAGGTTCTGTCAGTGTGCCAGGGCAGACGTAGCTTCACCACCATGTGTACGGAGTGAAAGAATAATAACATGTGAATAGTCTTTGGGTGTCCAAAAAAAGGCTGTATAAAACTAATACAGTATTAAAAATGGACTGTAATCATAATCATCCAAATCATAAAAATCATAATAAATAATGTCCTAAGACCCTCCTGCAGATAATGGTAACTTATGGAATGAAAACTTGCAAACTACACTTTTTTTGGCAACTGGCATTTCATGTTTAGCCATATTTGGCCGACCAATCCAACTCTGATGTATGTATTTGTGTATGGATTTTTGATCGGGGGTGACTTTTGTACACTCTGCATCATGTTTTACACCAGGGACAATCACATTTGACGTCAGCGTGATCAGACAAGACATGTCAAACTCTATCAAGTGTGACTGAGAAGGCTTCGGGCTTTTCCTCTTTTCTCATTCTTCTCATATTTGTGTCTTGCTCAAATCTCCCCACAATGTACATGCAATAAGATCATATGGTATATTCTCGTTGAAAAATGTTAACATACACAACAGCAATCAGTCAGTTTATGCAGCAGCAGCAGTGAGTATGTCTGACCTGATGTGAACGCTGCACCCAAAGAACAGAAGAAACAGGAAACTAAAATCTAACACAAGAAAAAGAGAAAAAATAAAAGAAATGGTTTGAGAGGGTTACAATAGAGCTGTAGACCTGTGCTATACAAAGAAACTTACCTCGCTGAATGATGAAAAAATGAAACACTTAAAACTCTGTCCCACACAGGGATTACGATGCGATTTTTGAGACTGTTAAAAAGCACAACAAATTGAAAAAATACACTATGTGGTAATGGCAAAGTGCAATATAGATACAGGTGTGCAATAATTTGAATGTATAATAATGTCCCCAGACTGACTGCTGTAATGCGATAGTTCATGAAACGCTCTGAGGACTATTTAAACGAGATTATATATGTTTTTACGTCTCTTGTGTAGTAAGCAGTAATGTTTATTTATATAGCGCATTTTACAGACCAAGGTCACCCAAAGCGCTTTACAATGTTCAGAGTTCAGATATTGTTCCGATCATTCCACACACGGTGATGCCGGAAGCGAGTCGCCGAACACACTGGCGCTTCAGCCCCCAATCAACACCATCCATTCACTCACTTATCTACATTCATACCTATTGTGCATGTTTTTACTGGTAGGGGAAACCGGAGCACCTGGAGGAAACCAGAGCAGACACAGGGGGAACATGCAAACTCCACTCAGAAAGGCCCCGTTCAGACCGGGATTCGAACCAAGGACTTTTCTTGATGAGAAGCGAGAGTGCTATCCACTCAGCCACCGCCCCTTGTGCAGAGCAGTGTTAGGCGCACATCGGAGAAACTGTTTATATACAATTTTGTAAATATTGTATGTTTGTGTGTTGTGTTTCTGTGTGTTATATGGACCTTCTTATGTCCGTTTAAAGATTAAATAAAAAAAATATATCTAAATCTTGTGTTTCTTTATGCTGATGCAATGTTCTGCTGGAGCACTTTAAGTCTCTTGGCTGGAAAAACAAAAACAAGAGACATTTTTAAAAACTTCAAGCAATGTTTTTCAGATTTTTAGTCTCTTTTTTCTTTAATTGTAAGTAATTGCAGCCTTTCCGATTTGCTAATTGCAAAGAAATTATATGTGATTGCTGTTAATTGTGCAGCTCGAGGTTAAAGTCATTACAATCCAATGAAAGAAGAAAAGTGTAACATCGGTCCTCTGCTAAATAATTTATTGTGACATCGCTGACTTCACAAGTGAGATGTTTAAGTTTTACAATCCTGCGTGGTGCATGGATACGCCCCCAAACACACAAGGCCAACGTGCTTTTCCCTTTGCCCACTGCGGATGTGTTCTTCCTTATCCAATGGTCCCAGAGAGTCGTGTTAAGACCCTGGGGATTTCAAAACTCCTCTCTCATGCAGCTACAGCCATTTAACACAGATGTGAGCTGAATTTATTTCCCTCAATAGTTGGCTGGAGAGTTTTGGCGGGGGTTCTTCTTGAAGTTTTTTGTCAGAAATTAAAACCTGGACAATCAGGAAAAATGTTGCAGACTTAAAATCAAATCCACTGTTCCATAACTTCCTTTAAAGCAGCATTGACTGGATTCATTATTATTATTTAACCCAAACTGTTAAAGAGCTGGATTTCAGATGTAGTGACCTATTGAGGAAGAACTTTGTTTGAAGTTGCACTGAACTTTGGTGGTCGAGTGATTTATTTTGTTTTATTCATGAGGCAAAAAAATTACAATAAACTAAACCAAATTCTGTTTTTTCTTTATATTTATAAAAAAAACACACAAATTAACACTACATTTGTGTTCAATGATGCGTTTGTACTGCAGTGGTACTAGCGTGAATCACTAATTCTTGTCAAGGTGGAAAATAGGTATTTTGACGCAAGACTTGTGAATGTTGCCCTGGGCTGAGGCAAACATTCACATTTTGTTTACACTTTATTTAGTGTAATTTGTTGGAAATTTGCCAGAGGATTGTTTATCAAATCCCCCTTAACAGACTGTTTTTGTGCCTCTTTATAGTTTCTCACAGATTTGGGAATAATTTGTTATATATCGTTCAGAAAATCCCCACTGAACAGATCTATGAATGAAATACATGTGTTGAACTGGTGGACATAGGCTTCTGTCATAACACGATGGAACTTTGAAGTTTTAACAATGTGATGTCACATTCTTGTTGCCTGAGCAGAGTCTTCTCGTGGTCAGCAGGCTTCACATTCATGTCTGTCACCGAGTCTGAGATCTGTCTGTATGTGAGACGACAGAACCAGCTCCTGGAGTCTCCCCCACGCAGTCTGTGATGTCACTGCTGCACATTATTCATATTTGCAAAACGTGTTCCAATAGAACGAATGACACCGGGCGAGCAGAGGCGACCGTTGGCCCCTGCAGCAACACTGGTTTCAAGAGAATTGGTTTGGTTTCAAAGAATAAACAACTACAATAGTGGTAAGTTGTGTATTATTATTGCTCTTGATTACAAAAATACTTATACTTAATATAAGATTAAGATTCAAATGTATTTATTTAGACTTTATTCGTCCCAAGGCAAAGCACAAGTTACAGAGCTGTAGGAATGGGGAGCACACAACACACAGATACAGTGAACACTTAAAAACAAAAAATCTTTATCTTTAGCTTAAAACAGAAATAAACTATAAAACGCTGCATACTCTATTGCAAGAAATATAAATGTGTATGTATAGAACTATAGATAAGTCTGTATTCAACTCTGTAAAGAAGTAAAAAGTTATTAGCGCTGAGTAGGGTTGGGCACCGAGAACCGGTTCCTATCTGGAACCGGTTCCTAAAGTGCGGTTCCGGAACCGTTAAGAAGACGTTTGTATTTTGATTCTTTTTTCGATTCCTAAATGCCGGATGCGGCCCGCACAGCGGCGTCGGAAGCGTTTGGAAGGTGGGGGGGGGACACGTTTCAAAAATGCTTAGCAGCTGTCCACCTTTGTGCTTTGTGAAAAACTCAGTGAATTAAGCTCTTATGAGACGGCGCACTCGTGTTTGCATCCACATTTCGCTTCAGCCACACACTCCTGCCATCACAAAGAAACCTCTCAACGCTTGTATCTTCACATTTTCCACAAACGCAGATAAAACTGAGTCAAGGGGTAAAGGAAGCAAACATTTATCCGTCAAATGACTAATTCAGATATTATTTGGTTAAGTTAGAGTCCAGACAGCGAGGTTTAACGGGCGTATTGACCGGTTGAACACTCGTGCTAGCCCGCTAAGCCCGGTGCAGTTTCCCCAAACTCACGCTACATCAGTTTCATCACTCGCTTTACAAACACATCCAAAACTGATGTTCCTTACCTTAAAGTTACTGGTCAGGCCCTTTGTAATGATGAAGAAGGGAAACACGCTGTCCACCTGCCGAGGACCGCAACAAGTCCTGCTCCTCCTCCATGTAATAATCCATAAAAAACTCCGAAAACACGATGCACAAGTCCTTGTGCTTTGGTCAAATCTGTCAGTCCGTCCAACGATAATCCTCCAGTATTCTCACTTTAGCCGTTTTTCAGCGGTTTACAGAGACGTGTTTACATTTCAGCCGCTCTGAGATGATGGTGGGCGGTGCCACATAAACACCGCTTGTGTGTGCGTGTGTGTGCGTGCGTGTGTGCGTGTGTGTGTGTGTGTGTGTGTGTGTTCGTGTTCCTTGTTTTTTAATTTAATTTGTTTTTATGTAAAGCACTTTCTGTTGCCTTATGGCAGGAAAAGTACTTATGAAATAAAATTTGATAAAAAATTATCTTTTTTTTTTTCTCTCCTGCACCTCAAAGAATTGGAATCGAGAATCGTTTAGAACAGGAATCGATAGTGAGAATCGGAACCGGAATCGGAATCGGAAAATTGCAAACGATGCCCAACCCTAGCGCTGAGGGTTCAAAAGTGACAGCAAACACATCTGGTCCCATATTGCACCTTCTAACATTATTGCACTCAATTGCACAGATGTATAAATAAAAAGCAAAACAACTGTTAAAGGCAAATTGATGAATATGGGGAGAGAGCTTCTTCCCATTGATGTCAGCTGTGCCACAACATGGTCTGTACGTGCATTACGGTCCATCATGATCGCCAAGGACTATATTTCTGTTGATCGATTTCACAGTGACATTTGTTTCCCGTACTTTTTTAGCTTTTTAAATATCTGCACTTTTTTTTACCTTGTTTTTTACATGTACTTGAACATTAGGGACTTTTGCGCATGTATTCCAATGGGGTTTTAGTGCAAATGGTAAAAAAAAAACCTGAATCTTGAACCTTGAATCAAATCACCTCCACACCTCGTTGTTGACACCAGTGCGTGCGTCTGTTTGTACCACGCGCACTCCCCTGACCACGCTGGCCACGCCCCCTTTCCACCTTTGATGCTAATTCCAGCGTGATGCGTGCGCGCAGTGGAGGCAGCTCTCTGTGCACACACACTTTCTGCACGCTGCTACCACCTTTTTTACTCACTCCTTCTTATTTCCAATTCCACGCTGATTTCAGATTTTGGGATCGTCCAGGCGGAGACGCGCGTATATAACCGTGTCCGTGTGGATCATGCGTGCGCTCCCGTGAGACGCGGCAGGACGCACGGGGGAGTTGATACTGGAGGAGAAGCGCGCACCTCAGCTGGAGCCATGGGAGGTCACATCACCAGGAATTCCTTGTACGGTAAGCCTGCATCTGTACAGTATGTATCTTGATCATGGAGGATTGGGAGAAATACGCGCTGGAAATGTATTGGTGCGTGTGCGCGGGAGAGACGTGCGTGTCCAGGGCAGAGATTTTTTTTTTAAAGCCCAAGACCTGCTGTGTTTTCTGAGTCACGACTGGTTTGAAAAAAAGGTATAATTTACGATTTGCGTTAAAGATTATTCCACGTCTATGTCAGTGTGTTGTCGCCTGTTGGTCCTGTACATTATACAGCTTTAGTCAGTGATGTAATGTTTGCATTCCCGAATCCATACATCCAAGGAAGAACTTTTGAACTTGCTGCATAGGCCTGATATAAAGAAGTGTGTTCACAAGAAAAAACGTGTAATACAATAGAATAGCAGACAGATGTTATTGATAAAACCTGCAGCCTTAAAGCTGGAGAATGTTCCCAAATTTGAGGAAAGAACCACCTTCTCCACTTTTTAAACAAAACTCTTTGGTCCTATTGGATGAGCATACCACCAGAGTGATTGACAATTGGGAGGACAATAGTCTTAATGATCCACCTGGAAGTAGAAAATCCTCCTATATATGCAAGATCGGTTATTAAAAGCCTTTTCCATTTATTATGATTATTTTGAACCTGATGGCACATTGTTTAGTTTAGTTTGATGTTTATATGTGAGCTACTTATGTTTTGCAACAACTCACTATAGATTTCACTTATTGCCTCAACATTGTGTCACTTTAATATAGAATACACATCAATTTAAAGCTGGGGTTAGTAACTTTTTTCTGTTCTGGCTCTTACTGAAAGAGTCTTGAGAAAGTAGTAACAAGTTTTTGGGGGTTTTGTGTGAACCAATCAGACCACACCATGCTGTCTGTATCTTATCGGAAAACACATATCATGTATTTTGTGTAAGAAAGAGGCCTGTGAGTCACTGTTTGACGCTTTGGGCCTGAGAGCTGATTGGATGAGAGAGGCTGTCGTCTCTTTTTCACTTTTCTGTCTGAAAATTGATGCATGCACGTGTTAACTTGTGCAAGAAGAAAAGTGTTTTGAGCATGAGTAACTGTTGGGCCACCGCTGTCAGACTGTACCATTAGTCATTTAAGTCACTAATGCACTAGGACTGAAAAAACCTGCACCTGTCTTTCTTCTTTTTTATATATTCTTGTGAGCCTTTAACATTGTAAAGTGCTTTGGGTGACATTGGTCTGTAAAACGCACGATATAAATTAACATTACTTACTTACTTACAAAGTACTAGCATAACACTGGCTTACAGTTTGCATCATACCTTTTTGTTTACAACGCTGATATCAAGATGTCCTGGTGACATGGAATACTTTTGTGTATTGGATTGTTGCTTCTGTCTGCACCTTTTGTATTAATTCCCTTCAATGTATTTATGTATAGCCCTAATTCTCAACAGCAGTATCTACAGGACTTTAGAAAGTTTATCAAAAAAGCTTGAACACAAGACATAGAATAATAACAAACACATAGAAGCCATTGGTCCATAGCGAGCCGCATGACCAATGTCCATACATGTTAATAAATATCCTCATTATAATCTTTAAATCGCTGTAGTAAAGAGTAATGCCCATCTCGACTCAACCTTTCACTACTCCAATGACTTTGAATGAATGGCGGCGCTCCAGCCATACCTGTATTAATCCTTGTATTATTTATACTGTAGCCATCATTAACCTTGTCCCACGCGGGCACATTGGAGTGACCGCCCGTGTTTAGTGCCTTCCCAGAGTCCGTGTTGGGAATTCTTGGCTCTGTGACAAGAGCTGGGTCCAATATATCTCCTGTTGATCATGTCCCAGAGTCCAGGTCCAGAGCTCTGAGTCCAGCGGCTCTCAGGGACCTCTGTGGAGATGGCATTCCAGCAGGCATCAGCGGTTACAATGGACCAGGCTGGATTTATGGCCTGGACTGTGGAGCCAGAGTAGCCTATTGTTTTAGCAGTGATGTAAGTGTGTATTTGTGTCGCTCGCTTGAAAAGATATTTGTGTACTTTCAAACGACAGAAAGTCAACAATGTGATATAATCCATTTAACTCGTTGATTCATCAACTACAGTTTAGAGAATCAAACAGTTCGGGCACAGGAAATACAAAAATAACAAACACATAGAAGCCGTTGGTCCATAGGGAGCGGGACGAGATCATTATTGACCCGAGACCAGGGGTTTCCAACCTGTGGCTCGGGAGCTACCAGTGGCTCGCCACCCCCTTCCAGGTCGCTCTCCAAAGGATTCAAGAATTTAACAACATCCTGAATGAATCCTGTGTCATTACATCTATTTTAACTATGAATAATTTCACTAATGCAGGGATACTGTACGGTATAATGCCATATTTTGTCTGTGTGTTCCCCATGATTAGCTGTTATTATAAACCATAATTGCATTACAACTGCTAAAAGGAGCTTTCTGTTTTATAAAAGCAGCTGCCCCTACCCCAGACCCTCCGGCATAGGCAGTAAATAATCTGTCGGAAAAAGTGAGAAGCCACGTTTCTACCACTTGTTTTCACATGTACTGTATTGTTGGCCTCAGTCTGAAAAAGCTGATCTAAAGATGTGACAAAGTAAAAAAAGAGAAGACCACCCTCAGCTAATTTTCTCTCAACCCAAAGCATCAAATGTCTCTCAGGGCTCTTTCTTACAAGTATACAAAAGATAAAAGTTTTCTATAATGAAGACAGAATGCTATAGAGGACAGTGGTCTAAATACTACGTGTATCAAACTCTTTATGCCGGGACAAACACAACGCTTTAGCTATAAAATAATGAAAGTTAGGCTGATTTCAATAATGTCTTAGTTTATGTAATCAATATACATATGGAATGTAATCAGTTTAAAACCAATACAACTGACATATTTTACACATTCTCTTTAATACATTTACAGTGCATCAGTAGATTGAACATGTTTGCAGTTGCTCTTCCAAAAAAAAACATTTCCAAACTTTTCCTCTGACCCCGCACGCCCACACACAGGCCTTTATGGAGTACACACCACTTTAGATCAATTCTGTATACAAAAGAGAATGTAAAACTAGAGTCCACTCCTGAAAAGTAGCGGACAAGTGCCCTCTCTAATGTCTTTCAGTGTCTGCTCTGAAACCACTGCTGTCTTCTCCATCAGCAGAAGCACGTTACATAAATCTGTCTCTTTATTTGACAGAGTGGGAGAAAGCGGTGACGTCATTGTTGTCACTTGAAAGGACTTGAACACTCTGGATTAAGACACCATTAAAGAGCGAGGGATTGATAAATTATCTTAGAAGCGATTGTGCAGTTTGGAGCCCAAAGCAACAGTCATGTGGATCTGCTGCTTATTAAGAATGCTTTAATATCTGGTTTGCCGCTGGTTCGGGAGCGGCCGAGGTATTATGATTATTATTTTTCTTATTCAGCTGACAATATTTGCTCTGCTGCACAAGTTCAAATAGAGGGAATACAACATCAAACTTTTATTGGTAGAGCGCCTTTACTACACCAGGCATAAAATATAAACTTTAAAATCAAGATAAATTCAAAAAGATATGATTAAAATCCCACAGGACATTGAAAACAAACAATAGTTGCCGGACTAACAAGTGCACCTGTATACAAACCAAGTATACATAAAAGCTTCAAGTTTGCATCTGGGGAAGCATAAAAGTATTTGGCTTAAAACGCTTCTTAAAATGGAGGTTTAAAAACAGATAAATGGCGCCTAGCGTCAGGATAGAGGCCTGTCTCACAATCTCAGGAAGACTGTTCCATATTCTAGCTGCATCGTTCTGACACAATGCCTCTCCCAGTCCTGACTCTGGGCAACAGCAGGAGGCCAGTCCCTGTGCTCCTCAGGGTCCCAGCAGGAGGCCAGTCCCTGTGCTCCTCAGGGTCCCAGCAGGAGGCCAGTCCCTATGCTCCTCAGAGTCCCAAGCAAGAGGCCAGTCCCTGTGCTCCTCAGAGTCCCAGCAGGAGGCCAGTCCCTGTGCTCCTCAGAGTCCCAGCAGGAGTCCCACCAGTCCCTGTGATCGTCAGAGTCCGAGTTGGTTCATATGGCACTAACATGTCAGAGATATTCTTTGGTTCAAGGCCATGGAGCGACTCTGATACAATAAAAACTACATATTAAGATGAAGAGATGAAGTGACAGTGGACACATGTGGTTTGAAGCTGCTTTAAAGTCTATCCTCTGAGCCACATTCAGAGCTCGGTCCTGAATATCAGATTTTTAAATATAACATAACCATTAATCCTTGGGCCTAGTGCATTAGATTGAACTGTAAACGTCTCTAGCAAAAGGAGTCCCAAATGCCATGTCCTCATCCCATTCCTAAATGAATTGATTGGATAAGGCTGCTGCTCTGAGCCCCAGCGGCTGAAGCAGACAATGACATTACAGGCGGGAGATGCTGACCAGATCTCCTCTTTATTTACTCGCGCACTGTTTGTCATTGGCCAGTAGCAGCCGCCAAGTCCACAGCGTGTTTGAGTGTCCCGCCCGGGTCCCGAGGCCTCTGCCGTGACCTCACTTTGGTACCTGGATCTGCGAGAGGGGACTCTGCTCTGTGTTAGCGTGGGCTTCAGTGACAGACCGCGGCGCTTTGTAAACATGGAGTGACAGTCCGTGTGTTAGAGGTACTATGTGTGTGCACTGGGGCCTGTGTTTGCCATGGATTAAAGGGGACATCACTTAACAATACACTGTTTTCAGAATTTTGGACGTGTTTAAAGTTGTTTTTTTAAATCTAATTTCAGTGCAATGTGTGCAGGTTAGAGTCACGTACGCGCACCGTCATTTCTCTCCCCTCAGTCCATCCAGGTTTTAATTAATTATTATTAATATTATTATTATTCTTCTGACCAATAACTCTATACTAAAATAAAATAGAATACCATCTATAACTTTAGCATAATAAAGAATTAAGTATAAATGACTTACTTTCCTTTGGCTATAGTCTATTTTCTGAATCTGTGATGCGCCATTCTTGCTTGAGGG